GGCATATTAACAATAACTTCCTGAATAATCTGTGCAGGCTTATTATGTGTTTGAGATGCCATCTCTTTAATAGTATTAAGTGCTTGAATTACATTAGCACGGCTTGCTTCAGGTGCGTGGTTGTAATCATTAAACTTTATTAATACATGTTCTTGTTCTTCTAATAGAGTTGTTGCTCTTCCCATACAGTTACGAGTATTTCTATACTCACAGCACCAGTAATATCTATTATTTCGGTTTTTATCTTTTACTAATAAATATCCACGCACAACAATTTTTGAATTGCCTGAGTAGTATTAACTAATTGACATACTTCACGGTCCATTTAGAGAGATAATTGCAAAGGTAAGAATGCTAGTAATGATATAATACTTTATATAGCTAAAGTTATAAGAGTATGCAAAACAAAAAAAAAATAATACAAAAGAGACTCGAGCGAATTTGTGAAATTGAAGAATATAAAATACTTTTTATTATATGACAACTTTATGTATTTTAAGGCAGAAAAAAAAATTCTTCTTGAGTTATTATAAACTCAAATTCGAATTTGCTTTATTAATTTTATTTTTCTGTTTCTTTTATAATTCTTTTTTTTTTTTTCTTAAACTTGTTCTAACGGGACACTATATAATAATATTATTTTTATAACTTTATAATTTGCTTTACATATTCTATCTAATCTACTCTAATAATATAAAGTACAAGAAATTTAAAATTATAATTTGAGGCTTTTGCTATAACTTGTAACAGGAAGTATTTCCTTTTTTCTTCTATTCTATTTAATTTTTTTGATTACTAATATTCTTTGTCTTATGAATTCATAATATTTTCTGAATTCTTTAAATTTTCATGCGTTTTAACATAGTCTTCTATACAGTTTTGCTATTTTTAGTATTATTATCTCTTCTTGTGAATTTAAAGCATCTGAATTTCTTTAAGTTTCAACTTAACCTTCTATATAATCTCATCTTTTTGAATTATTATCCTATAAATTCGAAGCATCTTTTGAATTCTTTTAAATTTTCACGCGTCATAATACAGCCTTTAATATAGCCTTACTATTTTAGTATAATATCTTATAAATTCGAAGCATTTTCTGAATTTTTTTAAATTTTCACGCGTTATAACACAGCCTTTAATATAGCCTTACTATTTTAGTATATCTTATAAATTCAAAGCATCTACTAAATTCTTTTAAATTTTCACGCATTATAACACAACCTTTAAATATAGCCTTACTATTTTAGTATTATTATCTTCTTCTTATTTGTTATTAATACATAACTATGAATTTTAATTACTTGACTTTTTTGGTTAACTCTTCAGACCTATTGTCGATCTTAAAAAATTATTAGATCATTCTTGAAATATTACTATTGTTAGAATGTAAATTGGTATCTCAGTTCAAATTACAAGTTTTTTTAATTTTTTTGTTTATTTTTTTATTTTCTTATTATCTCTTTATTTATTTATATTATTATAGTCTTATATATTCTAGTATATATTTGTTTCGGAATTTCTTCATACTGCTCACACTACTCAGCTTATGTTTAATGCTGCCCAACACTATTTGGGCTATTCTTAATGCTGCCCAATACATGCTGCAGATAAATATTATCCAGATATTATCTAAATAGTATAGGTACTATCTGATATTCTAACCATCAATTAAAATCAATATCTGAATATCCAAAAATTATTTGGATATCCGGATAATTGACCCAATGAATCTAACTTCTAAAACTGATGAATTAAGTTAATAAATGTTAAAAACCTTGTTCGGTATTCTAATACTCTAAAATCTATTATTTTAGAATTATTAGGTTCAAGATATTGTTCAAGATTAATATAAGTAATAACGATATATATATAAATCGATTATGATGATTTGATCATCAATTGAAGTTTTTAGAATCGATACTTATCCCTACTCATGTCCTTATTTACATTTAAAAACTATAGCTAGTAACTAATATAAACATTAGAGCGAGCAGTTGAGGCTATTTGTTTAAGACATAATAATAAACCTAATAATTTACATTAAATTATCACTAAACCGGAGATTTTTGCCTATATGTAATATTAAAACTTTAATTAATAAAAATAAATACGTACGTATAAAAATTAATTAATATAATTATTATCCAATTAGAAGTCAGTATTTAAAATTTGATTTTCAATTCATGCATTTTATTAATAAAAATAGAGTAATACGCATATACATAATTTGAATAAAAATTTTAACATTTAATATAAAATAAATAACATAAAAAATATTTATTTAATTCCTCTAAATATTAATTTTAGATAATGCTAGATAAGCTAGAAAATTTAGATATATAAATAAAAATGAAGTCAAATATAATAAAATTTAAATTTTGAATATAAGTATAACATATGGTATCCCGCGCAATTTGCTAAGAGTTTAAAAAAATTTTTTTTAAATATATAATAAAAAAATATTACAAACGAATATTATGTGCAATTGCTCTTAAAAATTCAATAAGAGAATAATCTTCACGGCTATTAAAAATTGATAAGACACGTCTCTCATAGTCAATATAACGTTTACTTTTATATGGTTGAGAACCTCCATGAAGAAGACTTTCTATTTGCAAATCAGTTTGCTGTTGCTCCTTATGCATTTCTTCAATAAGAACATAAATACTAACAGATTTTTTTCCAACTAAAGTATTCCAACGGTTGTGCCATGCCTCAACCGCATTTTGAGTTCTTGGGAACCCGAATTCAACAAGGTCATAAATAGACCAAAGTCCAGGTGGAAATAATAGTAGAGCACGAATTTCATTTCCATTTCTAAGTTGACGACGAACCCTTCCATGAACATAATTAATTTCAAAATATTTGACAACTTCCTCAGCATTTGGAGGCAACAAAGATACAATTTGATTAAAAGCTGATGGGATTTCATTTGAAGGATTAAATTTAGATTAATTTACAAGACTAACAAAAGTTCAAATATATATCATTCACTTTTGGAATTTATTTATTTAAATCTTATAGTTTTAATTTATTAAATAAGACCATTCAACTTATTTGAAATTGTAACTTGAATACTTTTACATAATTGAATGGGGTGTCTCGGGTTCATCACAAACATAGTGTCAGTTATATAGTGAAGATCACTAGTCAATTTTTTTAAAATGATTTTTCCGATTTTTCTGAAATCACTATTTCTTATTAAATTATTATAGAAAAGTGATATCGCACTATTTTTTATTTCTCTTGAAGTATTTTATATTTTCAAATTCTGTAAACTATGAATGCCTTATTAAACATACATCAAAAAGTAACAATGATATATTTTATAATAGTTAGGATTTTATAGTTGCTCACATGAGGATCATTTACTGGTTTTAATTTGGCGACCATCATACTCCAGTGTAAAATTCAAACCATTATAATTTTTTATACTAGTAGATGTAAAATCTAACGTTGTTACTTTTTGAACATATGTTTCATAAAGCATATACAGTTTATAGAATTTGAAAAATACAAAATACTTCAAGAGAAATAAAAAATAGTGCGATATCACTTTTCTATAGTAATTTAATAAGAAATAGTGATTTCGGAAAAATCAGAAAAATCACTTTAAAAAAATTAGTGATCTTCACTATATAACTGACACTGTTTGTGATAAACCTGATTTAAGACACCCCAATAATTGAAGCAATCTATTTTTTTTACACACCTGATCATGAAATTTAATTGGCATCAGTAAGTAAATAATTAGTACAGCCAATCAGAAGCGGTGGGAGAAATTACAGTAAAATAAACCCCTGAATATTCTAATACTTCATGTTCAATTATTCAAGTGTTAAATTTCTGTTTATGTCATTATAACTTAATGCAAATTTTAATTAAGTTCAACGCAATGTACACCTAGAGATGGATCAGTTCGAACTAGTCCCTAATAAGATTAGTCCATTAATGTTTTTGGTCTGGTCTTGATCCTATAAAAATGGTCCTTAGTTATTTAAAACGCTACTAATTTTATTGATATCATAATTGAAATTAGTAATATATAATATACTTCTTAATCAATATATATATAATATATCTGGTTTTTTAACTTAAAATTTCTTAAAATACTAGTGAATGAATTTTCAAACACTATTGTTGGGAAATGTACTATTAATGTAATATCTTTGTGTGAATTAAACTTTCGGGAAATTATCTTGTCGGGGAATTTATTGTCAGGAAAATATCTTGTCAGGTATGTGTAAATCAGATGTCGGAAACTTATTGTCGATAAAACATCTTGTCAGGAAAGTGTAATATTGTTGTCAGAGAAATTTAATGTCGAGAAAACCTCCTGTCGGGATGTTGTAAATATAGTTGTCAAAGTTATGTTTGTTAGGAAATTGAATTCGGAGATATGAGTTGTCGGAGAAATAGTTGTCGGGAAATCAACCAAATACCATACAATTTTTATCTGAGCTATACTGGGAGCAGTATAGTACACTACCTCATTTTCTCATTTTTTCTTTCTTCTTTCTTCTTTTTTCTTTCTATTTTGTTTTATTCATCTAGTCTAGTTTGTTTTAACCTGTAGCAGATTTTTTTTATAGTCTAGATATTTAGTATAGATTGTTGTCACTCAGATCTTATACAATTTTTATTTTCTTCTCGTGTTAGTTAGATTATATTCTATCTTTTTTTTTAGAGTAGTATTTAGAATTAAAAATAGGATAGTCTAGCTAGGGCGGTTTTGATACAGGCTGGTAGTAGCCTTCTGTTGATCGAGACTAGGCAGGCATATCTTTATGCACCTAGTTTCAGAAGGAAAATTATGCTGCTATAGCAGATTGTACTTGGGTACCATCTGGGCAGCTGAGTGAATTCGGAATTGCAACAAGGCGAGCATACCTTAAATTAGAATTTTTTTTTCTTCTTTTTGTATTTGTCTAAATATCTTTAAGATATTCGCCTAATAAAATGAAGGATAAGATCACCTAAGTTTAAAAAAAAAAAAAAAAAATATATAATATATTAAGTATAATATAACTCAAGAGAATCTAAGCTGAAGTTAATAAATAGATCTGCAATGAACTAGTTAGTATAAACAGTTAGATATTATAGTGATATTAGTTTGTAATAGTATAAGTTAGTTGAACAAAATATTTAAATAAGTAACTCATAGACAGGTTACAGATATAGTAGCATAGTATAGTACTAACAAATAGTCTAACAACTATGTAGTAGACTACTTAAATTAGACAATAAATAAAATTATACATATAGCTTGTTGTATACTTTTTATATAATTACCTATATATAACCTTAAATTCACTTGGCAATATAAGCTACCTTTATAAGCTATCTTAATAAATAAATAAATAAATAAATAAATAAAAAAAAACTTTAAAAAACAGATAATACTTTTTTATTTTGTAAATCTTATGTACTAAATTTTCTTAAAAAATTTTACAACAAAAAGCAAATTTCTTTAAAATATTATTAAATAAATATAGCAAGTACTCTTAAGTAAATTTGTTTTATATCTAATTTTATATACTAGCAGTCTAGTTTTATAACTATTATTTCTTTTTAAGTAGAGTTATATTTAAAAAATAAAAGCTAGAAAAAACTTAAAGTTTTTCTATAACTAGCTTATAAACCTTTCTTGTATTCTTAAACAAAGTTATTACTCAGTCTCTTTCAGTTATAACAAGCTCTAAACTATTTTTTTAGTATAAAAATTAAGCTTTCTAAAGATCAAAATAGCTTTTAAAAATACCTATAAGTTTTTTTTTACTTTTAAAAAATTTTTAATTTTTTGTTATACAAACCTTTACTAAATTAGTATAAAATTTATAAAATTGTAACTATTATATAAACTATATCTTGCTAAATTTATTTTAATTAAATTAGTACAAAATTTATCTTGTATATAAGATTTGTAATTTGATTGCAAATCTTATTAAAAATTTAAAACTAAAATTTTACAATTTTTAATTTTTAAAAATATAATTTTTCTATTATTATCAAATTTTAATTTTATTTTTATTTTTAGAATACTTTTAATACTATATTCCTTAGATTGTAGGCCAACGCAGGCATATTTGCCTGCGTTTTTGCATTCATTCAGCTCTGATTTACTTTTTTTTTTTTTTTTTTTTGTTATTAAGATGGCTTACATTGCCGAAGAAATTTTATTAGAATTGCATATGGGATATACATTGATAGTCTCTACTGTTTGTAATTACATGAAGAGTGTACAACAAGCCACACGTACAACTTTAGTCA